AAAATAAAAAAATAAAGTCTTGCCAAAAAAAAAAAAAAAAAAAAAACTTTTAAGCAACTGTAGATTAAAAACTGAAAGCAGGCAAGAACTAAATCAGAAAATGTTGCAGTACCCCATGGTGTTCTCTTCTTTCTACATTCTTTCTTTAGGTGTTCTAATCCTATATTTTATTTTACTTTTTAAAGATGACCGGCAAGGGGATCTTAACCCTTGGCTTGGTGTTGTCAGCACCAAGCTCAGCCAGTGAGAGAACTGGCCATCCCTATATAGGGAACCTGTGGCCTTGGTGTTATCAGCACCGCACTCTCCCGAGTGAGCCATGGGCCGGCCCTATTTCCTAACTTTTAAATACTGTTTAATACTCTAAAAACTACAAGGTGTTGATGCAGTAAAGTATGCCACCATTTTTGCAAAGTGGGGAGAATAATATATACACATTTGCTTATATATAAACAAAATATATCTTTATAAGAATAGATAAGAAACATCTAACATGGCTCCAAGAAAAACTGGATGACAGCAGGACAAGAAGTAGAGGAGATTTTAATTCCATACCCTGATGAACATTTTAAATTTCAAACCATGTGAATAGTTTTTGTTCATACTGTAAGTACAGTATACCAACAGATAAATGCTGATGATTTTCCATCTCCACCTTTCTCTCCCCACTAGAATTTAAACTCCATGAAGGCAGAGATTTTTGTCCATGTTTTCTCTACTACAGTATATCCACACTGCCTGGTCTATAGATGGTGCCTGAAAACCATGTGTTGGACAAATGAGTGACTCCTTAGCCTCTCTGCTAAATTCCAGACTTGGATATCCAATTGCTTATTTCTCACCTCCACTTGAACAACTAGGTCCAACTTAACATATCCAATCCAACCCCCTCCCCACATAACTTCCTGCTTCCCTCACCTTTCCCATTTCAATACATAGCATCATAATCCTCCAGTTGAAGCCAAAAACCCAGGAGTTGCCCCATCCCAACTAACTGCACTCTCATCCAATAAATACCTTTAGCTCCAAAATATATCTCAAAACCTTTTTACTTGCCTCTTAACATTCCACAGCCAACTTCCCTGATTCTCCCTTTCTCCAATCTAGTTAGGCGGTAAATCAGCCTATATCACTCCCAGCTTAAAAAAAAAAAAAAATCCAATAGCTTTTCAATGTACTTTAAGAATAAAAGCCTAACTCTTTTGGACAATAAGACCTCACATAACCTCACCCCAGGCTACGACCAAGCATGATACCACCTCAGGGCTTTTCCATTTGCTCTTTAAGAATAAAAGCCTAACTCTTTTGGACAATAAGACCTCACATAACCTCACCCCAGGCTACAACCAAGCATGATACCACCTCAGGGCTTTTCCATTTGCTCCTCCCTCAGACAGGAACACTCTTCCCTCTGAACAAGTAAAAGGTCACCTCAGAAAAGCCTTTCCTGACCACAGTATCTGAAAGTCTTCTCCCAGTAACTACCACTCCTTATTTTATTTCCTTCATAGCACTTATTGTCTAAAATTATTTGTTTATTTACTGTTTCTCTCCCTCCCCAACCAGAATTAAACCTCCAAAAGAGCAGAATTTCATGTGTCTTGTTTATTGTTATAACCCTAATGCCTGCAATATCGCTTGCCATACAAACCAGGTACTTAATAAATGTTTGTTAATCGACAGAGAAGGCAAAACTGACTTTAAAGAAGGTCCACAATATTTAATTTAGTGAGACTGGTGAGAACAAAAGACATGGATAAACATCTTCACATTTATAAAACATCGAAAATCATCAGAGAGGATGCAAAATGAAGTAAGAGTATTTCAGATACATGAGAATATTCGAATATTCAAAAGATAATGGAAGAGGTATTTTTCACCCACTATGTGCATGCACACTGTAGAAATGGTCCCTAACTCATAAACAGCATCTGAAAAATCAGACAACTCAAAACACTCTGTACATCAGCCATTTCATCTTTGACTCTTGGAAGGGTCTTCTAAATACTGTAGGAAAGGTGAGATGCTAAAGGGTAGAACGTCTTTTGAAGGTCTTTTGATGTCTTTAAACGTTTATTATGTAGTCAATAGTCAATCAGGAGAAAGTGATTCTTTCCCATACTTTACTATGAATGTAGGTATGGGACAGGTCTAGTTCAAAGATTTTTATAAAAAAGTCAAGGAGTCTAAAGTGAATGTTTATATAGTGAATAGTTTATATCTTATTATCTTCAAAATTTCAACTTCCAGACTACTACCCTTCAACTGGTAATAGTAATCCATGGGGGAAAGATGGGGAACTTAACAATAATAACAGTCTGCAATTCACTGTTTTATTTGCATGCACATAATGGTAGGGAGTGGTCCAGACTCCCTAGTGTGTAAGCAAGTGCTGGAAAGAGAGTCTGAGGATCTTATTTCACCAGTCCCTAAGTGTTGAGACAGGAGGTCTAGCATGCACGTTAAGATACTCCTCCCCAAAGCTATCAATCTTCGCTGTCTGCGGAAACAAAAGTGAAAACACTCATGGTAAGGATGTACGAGGTTGATACCCTCCACCAACACAGTTGTGCATCGCGTGAGCACGTAAACAAGCAGTAGAGTACACGCACTCTCACCTTCCCTCCTTTGGAGGAAAATGGGGCCGAGGGAGGGACGGCCAAGACCGGGAAGCGGAGGCCCGGGATCCGAGCCAGGGGGTGGCCGGGCTCATGGGTCAGCGTTCTGGGGAGCCGAGGTCACTTACAGGACACAATCTTCCCTAACTTGCCCCTTTCATCCCTCTCCCCTCCCCCCCTCCTCGCCCCCAACTCCTTTCCTCCGCCCCATCCCCGCCACCCATTAACCGGGAAGGGAAGTTTCCCGGCGCCTGCAGCCCGGCTCCCCGACCCTCAGCGGGGTTACCTTCTGCAGAAGCGGGACAAGGGGCAGGGGACAAGGGGAGGGGGAGGCAGCCCGAAGGAGTGAAGGACGAAGCCCCCGGCGAGGAAGGTGGGCGGCGGCGGCGGCTGTCAGCTCGCGTTCCCCTGCTCACAGCGCTGCCATTACTGTGGGGCGAAGCCGCCTCCCCGGCCGGCCGCCGCCACCGGCGCAGGAGACACGGGGGGGGGGAGCGAAGTCCGGGGAGCACGCGCGCCGACGCTCACCTGCCTCCGCGAGGAAACACAGCAAAGCCCAGGGCAGCTGCCGCCCCCGGGCGGGACAGGGGCGGTGGGGAGGGGGGAAAGGGGAGAAGGACGGGCCGATGACAGGATCCGTGAAACAATCGTCCTCCGAGCGCCGGGCTTTCCCAACCACCACCCTCTAGTCTCCTTCTTCCGCGGCTGCCAAATCCCCCCTCAGAAAGTAAATGGTAGAGTCCGCGTTACGGCAAGCGCAGGGAGCCCAGTTTCCAGCAAATGCTAAAGGCCACGGAAATCAATACTCCAAGTGGTTCTCTGCGGTGCTCCCCTGTCACTGAGACAGTCGCGGTTCGCGGCGCTGAAGAGACGCGGTACCCACCAAGTTTTGGGACAACTACTAATAACAACATGTCAGAATGGTGTGTTCAACAAAAGTATTTTTCGTATATTTGTGTCAGACCTGGGTCAGTATTCTAAGTTAACTACAAACCTCTTGCCATGCACCTCCACGGGCTTTGCAAATGATCAAAAATATATAAGCAAAGCTACCTTCCTCTCTGACAAACTCCCCTTTTAATGGGTTTTTATCTATAGACAAATGCTGGGACATAAATGTATTCTCAATAAAGGAACGCTTTTCACAGCCTTGATCGCTAATTCTCCGCCTTCATCAACCCCCAACCATGTCAGTCTGAAGGGTTTTACTCCCTTAGGATCTGAAACGATGATTTTGGCAAAAATGTAGATTAACCCACTACCTCCTCGTGTATACAGGACCACAAGGAACAAAGGCCCAGCTTTATTCGTTATTTGCCCTTCGTACCGACAAGATCTCAGTGGCCAGGGTCTTGTTCATTTGTATGTTTTGAGCAAGCCTTTCCTTTCCAATCCTTTCTTCCAAACTGTGCCAGTCCTTCCTTCAACCCCCATTTAAAATCCCGTCTCCTGACCTCATAAATCCCACCAATCTTGTCTCCTAACCTGCTTCTCAAGGCACTTAAAGCCTGTACTCTTTATAAAGTGTTTTATAAGTGTTATTATACACTAAATTCAACAGCTTGACTTCCTTATATCATATATTTTCTCTCACGTGTTTTCCCTCTTTTAATCCAGTCATTCCCAAAGTGTGGTGGCCAGACATTTGGAAATCCCCAAGACCTTTTTAGATGTCCCAAGGTTAAAAACTATTCTCATAATAGTTTAACATGTTCTTTGTGGGTATTTTGTTTTTGTTTTTGTTTTTTACTGGATTTACATTTGCACGATGGTACAAAGCAGTAATAACACTGCTGACATGTTAGCAGGAATCAAGACAGTAACACCTAACTGTCCCAGTGATCACTGCATGGATCACTGTATTCTTCACTACCACACACTCCCAGTTTTTAAAAATATTAACTTAGGGTCCGGCCCGTGGCTCACACGGTAGAGTGCGGTGCTAATAACACCAAGGCCGCGGGTTCGGATCCTATATAGGGATGGCCGGTTTGCTCACTGGCTGAGCGTGGTGCTGACAACACCAAGCCAAGGGTTGAGATCCCCTTACCGGTCATCTTTTTAAAAAAAATATATTAACTTAGGAATATCCTTGATGAAGTGGTAAAAAGTATTAAGTTTATTACATTTTGAGCCAAGAATACACATCATTCTTATTCTGAGTGAAGAAATGGGAAGTACACATGCACTTACACTGCCTTCCGATGTAGGATGGATGTCTCAAAGAAAAGCCCCCATGAGTTACAAGCTGAACTAGCCACTTTTTTCATGGAACACCATTGTGTTAGTCAGTGTTCTCTAGAGAGACAGAACCAATAGGACATTTATTAGGGGAATTGACTCCTGCAATTATGGAGGCTAATTCCCACAATAGACTGTCTGCTAACTGGAGATGCTGGGATGCTGGTAGTGTGGCTCAGTTCAAGTCCAAAAGCCTCAGAACCAGGGAGGCTGACCGTGTAATTCTCAGTCCAAGGCCAAAGGCCTGAATGGACAGGGGTGCCAATGGTGTAAATCCTTGCATCCGAAAGCTGGAGAGCCAAGAGTTCTGATGTCCACAGACAGGAGAGGAGAGTGTATCCCAGTTCCAGGAAGTAGAGAGATTCCTTTGCCTTTTTATCCGCTTTTGTTCTCTCTGGCCTCCCAGGTGATCTGATGGGGCCCACCCATATTGAGGGAGGACCTTTCCCACCCAGTCCACTCAGGCTCACATGCTAATCTCTTCTGGAAGCACCCTCACAGACACACCTAAAAATAATGCTTTACCAAGTTTCTAGGTATTCCTTAATCTAGTCAAATTGACACTTAAAATTAGCCATCACAACATTTTTACTTGAAAAAACAATTGACAGACTGTTGTTACTCTAATTTGGGAATTCACAGATATTTTCTCCCAAATAAACAAAGTGAGCCTAACACTTCAAGAAAACAGCTGACAGTATTCATTGCCAATAATAAAATTTAGCTTTCAAGACAAATTGGAAATTTTGGAAAACTTAGGGCTGGCCGGTTAGCTCACTTGGCTAGAGCATGTTTCTGATAACACCAAGGTCAAGGATTCAGTTCCCTGTACCAACCAGCTGCCAAAACTAAAAAAAAAGAAAAGAAAAAAAATTTTTGTAAAACTTGTGTTTACCACCATGACCTTGACAGCTTCCCAATACTTAAAGACTTTTCTGATGAGACAGTAGTGCTAAAAATGAATGTGATGTTTTGATATTGTGTAATACAATATGTCAACATATGGAAGATGTACATGACACAGTGAACCAATATTTTCCAAATGACCAATGCAGAATGTTACAAAATCAGCCCACTAAAAGATCCATTCAAAGTACAAGATAGACCAATGTATGCATGTATACATGCACATATAAAAAACAGAGTATGAAAAGGTCATTAATATAGTTTCAGATTCATCATTGCAACTAACCTTTAAGAAACTATCACTTCGGGGCCAGCCTGTGGTTCACTCGGGAGAGTGCAGAGCTGATAACACTAAGGCCATGGGTTTGGATCCCATATAGAGATGGCTGGTTTGCTCACTGGGTGAGTATGGTGCTGACAATACCAAGTCAAGGGTTAAGATCCCCTTACCGGTCAACTTTTAAGAAGAAGAAGAAAAAAAAAAGAAACTATCACTTGTCGAATTTCACTATAGTATCAGAGAAGAATATCCACAATTATCTGAAAAAGACTATTAAATTCTCTTTCTAAGGCCTGAGTTTCTTCTTATGCTTCAACCAAAGAGAACCTAGCTATCTTCTGTTAAGCTAAATATTTAGAGATTTGCAAAAATGTAAAAGCCATCCCATTCTTCACACTAAAATTTTTTTTATGTTGGAAAATATGGTTTGTTTGTTTTTTAAAGAAAACGTGCAATTTATGTTACAAACTGTTTGGGTTTCTTATTTTTAAACTAATCAATCAATAATTTTTAAAATTTCTCTTTTATATTTCTAACATGGTAATGATTGATAGATATAACCCACATAAACATAAGCTCTTTGCGGTCCTCAATCATTTTTAAGAGTATGAAGTGGTCCAGACACCAAAATTTTCAGATCTGCCTCTCTAACTCATGAAATTCCTCTATTCTTGCCATGCTAATTTTATTTCATTATTTGTTTTATTTATTTATTTATTTATTTATTTATTTATTTATTTA